AATCAGCGAGTACTATATGGAGGCCATCAGGATCACTGCTGACAGAAGTTGGAGTTTATTCCAGAAAATGTGGCAGTTACTTTCTGCACTGTTGTTGCAACCACCACCATCAGATCATTTGTGATCTGATCTGATGGCTGGGAAGCACTCTGCCGTGATTTCAGGTGGGCGGTCTCTGTTTCTTTTTTTTGGGGGGGCCTTTCTCCTGTTTTCTCAACCCAGAAATTCGTAATGAACCTGTCAGGCCGCTGCCACTCCGTGTCACACTGGATCGGCCACACTGCTATCCGACTGCTAATGAGACCACACCCCCGGAATCTCACATATGTTACATAATTCATTTTGTATTTTTTTTTTTTTTTCCCCCCCCCTTTTTTAATGGGCTGCGCCGCGCTTTGCTGCAGTGCAACGCGAAGGCAACGCTAAGGGGTCGGGCAGGCAAGCCTACCCTTCATCGCCCAGAAAAAAAAATTTAATATCGTGTGGCCCGATGGACCACAGATCAGATATTAAACTGATCAGAACAGAAACTAGACTGGATCAGATCAGAAATTCATTTTGTATTTCAATGGGACGCTGAGCCCAGTTCTCAGCACGCGATGCTCCCCACAAATAGATTGGAGCTTTTCGTCCCAAAAAAAAAACGAAAAGAAAAAAAAGCTATCTGAAAGACTGAATTTTTTTTTTTTTTTTTTTTTTTTTAAGCACTGTCAGGGAGGCTCCATCTATTGGTGGGGAACTTCACCTTGCTGGAAAACGGGTCCAGTGTCCCAGTACACGGATATGAAAGTATTGTTGCACAGGGCGCCTGGCTTGAAGAAACACATAAGTAAGCAAGTTATCTGCTTAGACTAAAGTCCTATGGATGAAACTTGAAATGATTATGTATTGTGATCCTCAGTCCTCTTCCACGCAACTTGACCCACACTTAGTGAGTCATGGCTGATTCCCTTTCTGTGAGATTGATAGTCTTACTGTTTGAAGGTCACAAAAACATGAATGGGCGAAAGGAGTGGCAGCCGAACTTGGAAGTGTCGCATGACTTGTCGGTAAATTTTCGTTGGTTTTCTTTCCCAATCAGACACCACGGCCGACCCCTGTAGTTATGACACCCGGCCTGGACCACGGGCGGTGGTGCTTTCATCGCCCTTTCGGGTTTGGCGGCCGTTGCTTTTGCCCGTTCGTGTTTTTTTTGCCCTTCCAAACTTTTTTTTTTTTTTTTTTTTTTTTTTTTTTTGAAAACAACCTGATCGGATGCTAGGTGTGCTGATAAGAGCAGACACATCTAGCACCTTCTTTTCTGACACAAAATGGACTTACCTCAAAACAAAAGTTCGCAGCCGATTAGGAGCTGCACTCCCTCCCTTGTTTGTTTGGTCAGTATGTGTCACGGACATCATCGGTCCTTGGTCGGGTACCGGTCGCTGGCAGATGTACCGATAGTTGGCAGGGGGAAGAATTTTCATTTTGGGGTAGAACGAGGGTTCCTAGAATTTAGGGAAGGCGAGGACCCTTTTTTTTTGGTTCATGTGCCCCGACCGGTCCTTTGCGAAGAGGGGTTTGGAGGGCCCTTTATGAGAGGCCCTTTCATTTTTTGTGGTTGGTAGCTGCAGTCTTTTAAACCACCAGTACTTGGCCCATACATCGGCCGTGGGACGTTGTCGTTAACGCCCCTCAACTTCGGGAGGCTCGGGGGCTCGTTCGGCACTCCTCGGGCGCGTGAAGTTCCCGAGGAATTGTTCGTTCCACCTATCCTCGGGGATGCAGTTGGGGGAAAAAAAGTGAAAACACTCCGAAGGCAATTCCTTGGGCTTCGAGGATTCCCCAGCCATTTCTTCCTTTTGCTCAAGGGACCTCACAAGGTCCCTTGGGCAAAAGGAATCCGCGTTTCATGAAGAGGAGCGGGCACATGGGTAGAGAGACGTTACAACCGAGAATCTGGATCGTGGCGGCACCCTATTGGCTGAAGGCCTCAAACACATTTGATTTTTTTTTTCTTTTCTTTTTTCTTGTCTGACATCGTTCGAAGGAAATGTCCTCGGGCGACGTCCCCGAGGACAGGTGGAACGATGGCGGGAATTTCCTTGAAAACCCCCAAGGAAACTTCCTTCGGCCACGAGGACGCCCCAAGGAGTGTCGAACGAGCCCCTCGGGGTACCGGCCCTCAAAGGCCAGCGCCGCCATCCAAAACATTTTTTTCTTGTTGCGCTGGTGGGTCGGCGCAATCAGGCTCCGCATCGATAGCCGGGTCAAGTACTGGTGGTTTAAAAGTGCTTTCATTGTCTTTTGTGATGCTAGAAATGGTGGAAAGGAGAAGACGACGCGTAGCATTGTGTGGACAAGGGAAATAGTAGTAACTGTAGAATATCAAAAAGAAAAATAGGAGAAGACTACGTGTGTCCTGGCTACAAAAAGAGAAAAATCAGAAGATCTCCAATCCTGTTTTGTCGGAATGAAGCAATCATAGCAGCACATGTTGAATAGTCCTGCAACGTCAGACAACATAATTGTCTCCTTCACTTCACAACACATTAGTCAAGACATCTCCTAATCGAGTCTGACTCAGCGTTTGCCCGACACCATTTCGTTTTAAATTATTTTCTGGTACTGAAAAGAAAAAGGAAAAAGAAGGGAAAATTTGTCTCGCGACCCCGTAATTTCCATTGTTTAGCTGCGCACCCCTCCCACAGCCGATTTACCTTGTTGCGCCCTTCTGACCGGGATTAAAATTTCCCATAAAACGCATATTTTTATTATGCCCCTACCGGTACCCGTTCCAGATCCATCACCTCGAAGCTCCATATCGAAGCCAGGGGGAACAACCCCTGGTAGGGTTCCATTAGGTATAATGGGAGCGCCCAAACCTCGCCCGTCAACCACCACCACATGCGTTCTATCCTCCTAAGGCCGAACGGGATTCCCAACATTTTCCACGTGGAACAGTGTCCGACTCGACCGAGATGGGTAAAAGCTGAGGGGTTTCATCGCCCTCGTGGAGCGTGTCTCTGCGCGCCCGTGCGCCCTAAACCCCACACCGCTTCCGCGCCTCCGCCCGCAGCAGAATTTGGCGAGGGAAGCTAACGCACGTTAGCTCCGCCAGGCGATCCTCGGCTACGTGAGAACATGGAAAGATACAGCACCATGATTTTTGTCTTTTGTGCAACGGGAATACAGAGACCGAATGGGATACACGGGCTGATAACAACGCAGAGGCCCTAGGGGATACACGTGCTGACAACAACGCAGTTTTTCCTTTTTCTTTTCTTTTCTTTTTTTTCCTTCTCAAATTTCCCTATTTATGCGTCTCATCCTTGGGGCCTCTCTCTACTACTCTCGACATGCACAAAAGACAAAAATCATGGCGGTGCATCTTTCCATGTTCTAGCGGAAGATTCACTCTCGTTTTGCACGTTTGGAGAGTAGTAGAGCCCCCCTCTCTTCACTAGGACCACTCGGGGCCTCCACTAATGTGCAAAACGAGAGAGAATCTTCCACTAGAACATGGAAAGATACAGGGGGCTCCACTACTCTCGAAATGTTCCAAACGAGAGTGAATCTTCAGCTAGAACATGGAAACATACAGCGCCACAATGTTTTTCTTTTGTGCATGTCAAGAGTAGTGGAGGAAGTCCTCTGTTTTTTTTTGTTTTTTTTTTAATATCCTGGCCTTGCCGCGTGACTGGGCCACGGCCAAGATGCCTATTAGGCCAAGTGCAAGATTAGAAAAAAAAAAAGAAAAAGGAGAGAGAGCATCTCTGGGCCACTGTCGCGATGCCTCGGCCACGTCCGAGATAGAAGGAAGAAGGAAAAAAAAAAAAAAAAAAAAAAAAAAAAAGAGAGGCCGCATGCAGGACTGGACCGCAGTTGCAAACTCCGCCTTGTGACTTTTCTGCATGTGCCTACTAGGCCAAGCACGAGATTGGAGGGCTAAACCGGGGTGCAGCGCTACCGGGAGCGCTGCGCCCCGGCACCGACCGCGGCGGCGGAGTGAGGCGGCGAGCGGGAGGGTGCCTGGCTCGCACCGCTTTCGCTTTGAAGTGTCCATACGAACGAACTAAGGCATGTCGATGGCGTGACGGAGACGCAGGTGGGGTTAGGAGGAGTTGCTGGACAGGGTGTCGAGCTTACAGCGGCTACTTATTAAGTGTTTTGCGCACGCGCGGGGAGCAAAGGTGCTGGTCTACACCATATCACAGGTTGATAGGGAGACTAGACTGACTCCTGGGGGCTTCCTGGGAGTTCCGCGTCCATACTCCATTGCTGCTGCGTTTCTGCCCGTGGCATAGAGCCTGTGAGGTGTCGCCTCTGGTGATGCCTGTGGAGTTCAGCGGAGAGAGCCTTGGGCAACCCGAAGTGCGAGTGAAGTAACTGCCCGTCATCACCAGTGTCCTCGTTCATTGCCATCATCATTTTTTCGCGACCACTACGTCGCCGGTATCATCAGCAGCAGCAGCAGCATCAGCATCAGAATCATCATCAGGGTGCGGCTCATCATCACCATCATTAGGGCGCTGGGCGTCATCATCATCAGAGCGCTGGGCGCTGTTCGTCATCGAGCTGATGCTCGTCATCATCATCACCAAGGTTGGTCGGTATCATCACCAGCAGCAGCACTAACGTCATCGTGTGCATGGTCGTCCTCATCCATCATCATCATCATCACCATTGTCATCTTCAAAATCAGTATCAGCATCATCATTATCATCATCATCAGCATTACCGTCGTGATCATCATCATCAGGGTGCTGGGCGTCATCATCATCAGGGCGCGGGGCGCTGTTCGTCATCATTCTGAGTTTCGTCATCAACAGCATCAAGGGGGTGATTCGTTGTCACTATCATCCTTGGGTGATTGCAGGGCATTGTGCGTCGCCGTTATCATCATCATCATCATCATCATCATCATCGTCATCATCATCATCAGGGAGCCATTCGTCACCGCCATCATCATCATCATCCCGTAAATGGGTCGCCATCATCATCAGGGCGCTGGGCGTCATCATCACCAGGGCGCTCGGCGCATCATCATCAAGGTTTGTCAGGATCATCGTCAGTAGGGTGCTGCTCGTCATCATCATCACCAGCAGCAGCACCAACGTCATCAACAGGAGGTGATTTATCATCACCATCATCCTTTCGTGATCGCAGGGTGGTGATTGCAGGGCGCTGTGCGTCGCCGTTATCATCATCATCATCATCATCATCATCATCATCGTCATCATCATCATCAGGGAGCGGTTTGTCACCGCCATCATCATCATCATCATCCCGTAAATGGGTCGCCATCATCATCAGGGCACTGGGCGTCATCATCACCAGGGCGCTGGGCGCATCATCATCAAGGTTTGTCGGGATCATCATCAGTAGGGTGCTGCTCGTCATCATCATCACCAGCAGCAGCACCAACGTCATCAACAGGAGGTGATTTATCATCACCATCATCCTTTCGTGATCGCAGGGCGCTGTGCGTCGTCGTCGTCATCATCATCATCATCATCATCATCATCATCATCATCTTCAAAATCAGTATCATCACCATCATCATCATCATCATCATCAATGCCGTCGTTATAGTCATTATCATCGACATCATTATCATCATCATCATCATCAGCAGCAGCAGCAGCAGCATCAATGTGTAAGCATAGCGTGCTGTGGGTTTTGTTCTTCAACATGACCAGTATCAGCATTCTGCCGCTATTACCATCATCATCATTTTGTCACCCTTAGATATTGCTGTTCAAGGCCTGGTTTGCCTCTCACATCAGTAGGTGAGTTTGGTCGTCATCACCAGTACCAGCATCTTTAGAACACTGTTCATCGCCATCTGAAAATCCAAAAAAAAAAAAAAAAAAACTCTCATCTACCTTTTCTCTCCACCATAACTTTCTGGAATTTCTTGCTCTGATGGATGTGCTTCAGTCGGGATAGGGCTTCTGTGGTCACGGTTGGGACTTTTTGGGGAAAGGGGGGGGGTGGTAATTGGAGAGCCTTACTCTACAGGGGCGCTGCAAGGTGGGTGGCGGTCGCCCTGTCGGGGGTGAGGCGGATTTGTGGTTTGTCCTTGTCTGGGGCCGGGGGGGGGAGAGTTGGTCGCCTTCAACCCCGGCGGGGGCAGATAGGAGCAAGGGGAGGGCGAAGGTATCCTCTAGGAGGGAATTGGCTGCCTTTGCAGAGAGGGGGGGGAGGGGGGATGTTCCAGGCTGGGGCCGCGGAGGTTATGCTCGGAGGTGGCAGCATGGGACAGGGGTAGGGGGAAGTGTCTTTGCGCGGAGACTTTCGGAAGCTTCTTGGATCGGATTTCTTCTGTTATGCCTGGTAGTTTGAAGAATTACTCAGGCCTCTGAGGGTCTGCCGGTGGGTTGTACGAAGCTGCACTGGATTTCGGCTGTCATATTCAGGATCCGTGGTTGTCCAATGCCAGAACGACGCTGGCCGGAGCCGGGGTGATGCCCTGTAACTTGCCGAGGGTGAGGGCATGAGGCCGGGTAGACAGATCTGGGGGTGCTATGAGGGGGGCATCCTAAAGGACAGCTGGGGGTTACTGACACAGAACGACACTGGCCGGAGCTGGAGTGAGTCGCGCTGCTCTGTAACCTAGCAGTAAGGGGGCGTGAGGCCTGGTAGAGTTTGTCAAAGAATAAGTCAGTTTCGGTGAGCTTTGTTAGGATCTGTTGGTAATACCTTAGATACTTGAGTGTTTTTGGAAAACTGCTGTGGATTTCAGGAGAGTTTGTCAGGGATATTAATCATCATCATCATCATCATCATCGTAACCACCATCATCACCATTACCATCATTTCATAGAACCATCATTAGCATCACCGTCATCATAATATGAGGGACGCTGAGCCCGGTTCTCAGCATGTTCGGTTCGGTTACTCCGGGTAGACTGTGAGGACCCCGGCCTCAATCTTCATTTTGAATAAAAAATTGTTTCAAAAAAAAAAAAAAAAAAAAAGAAAGGCCAAGCACGAGATTACAAAAAAAAAGAAAAAAGAGAGAGAGCATTTCTGGCCACGGTCGCGATGCCTCGGCCACGTCCGAGATAGAAGGGGGGAAAAAAAAAAAAAAAGAGAGAAAAACTAGGCTACCTGAGTGGCCCGGGGTCACTTGCCCGGCCGGGCCAAAAAAATAAAAATAAAAAAATGATTTTTAGTTTTTAATTGTTATTTTAATTTTGGTGAAGAATTTCGATGTGACCCTGAGGCAAAAGTTGTTCAATTTATTTTTCTGCATAACATAGTTTTTTTTCGGATTTTTTGGATGTTTTTGTGTTTTTTTTTTTGCTGGGACCTCCTTGCACGGGCTGGCCACCCGGGACCCGGGCGGCCCGGCTGGTAGCCTAGGAAAAAAAGAAAAAAAAAAGAAAAGAGGCCACATGCAGGACTGACTGCAGTTGCAAACTCCGCCTTGCTACTTTTCTGCATGTCAAGAGTTTCGTCTGGATGTCCAGTTGATGTAACTCAGTGGTTAGAGCACCAGTTGGAAATGCACATTGTGATATGAGGTTGTGAGTTCAAAACTCAATTGCAGCCTTGCGCATGGACACGGGCAGGGCGTTAGAATGAAGCACGGCTGGACACACGTTCCCTTGGGCTGATGCACGATAAGCTTACACAAACCTTATACAGACACTGCCTGCAAACCACCCAAGGGTTGTCCATGGTGTTGTATGTCGGGTCTTCATGTGGGTTGCTTGTGGCTGTTGCCAGCCTGGCATATCACACACAGGGGGTGTTTGCTGTTGTATCTCAAATGGTAGAGTCTTCAGGTCACATGTCATAGATCACGGGTTCGAGTCTGGCTTGGGACTTTGGGGGGTGTTCTTGTCCAGCTTGGCCTTTCATTTCTTCAAAAGGAACACATAATATTATACAAACCTTATGCAGACACTGCCTGCACACCACCCAAGGGTTGTCCATGGTGTTGTATGTCGGGTCTTCATGTGGGTTGCTTGTGGCTGTTGCCAGCCTGGCATATCACACACAGGGGGCGTTTGCTATTGTAGCTCAAATGGTAGAGTCTTCAGGTCACATGTCATAGATCACGGGTTCGAGTCTGGCTTGGGACTTTGGGGGGGGTTCTTGTCCAGCTTGGCCTTTCATTTCTTCAAAAGGAACACATAGTTCCCTCTACATAGTACTGCACATATCCGGCCTTTGGGCACATACATCTCGCTAGTATACAGTTACACAGAGCACACAGCCTTCGGGCAGATACCAAACACATGGCCCTATGGGCTCATACAAACATACATAGCCTCTGGGCACATACACATACACACAACTACGATACTGGGCCGGGGGGGTCTGGCTGGGGGGGTCTACCAGGTATATGACGGGGTCTACTCACGCATGGCTTAGCTCTAGGGTACGGTAGGGATATAAGTCGCTCCGTCTAGTCTGAGTTCCACCTAGCCTTGGGTACGCTAGGGGAAGGACAGTAGGATGTGTCCGTGGGCGCTGGCCTGCCTTCCTTAGGTAATCCTGCTGGGTAGACTCTCTGAATTGGCCTGTAGAAGATTGCATGAGCCTGGCGTCTGAAGTTCCCGTACGGCAAGGTTCGTCCGCTTCCCGCTTCCATCAGGGCTGGCAGGCCGGTGCTTGTCACTGCTGTCTGGTCCAAGTTGCCCTCGATACTGGTACGGTGATGGTCCTGAGTGCTGGTCACACTGAGGTAGGATAGTAGGGACAGGGGGTGCGCTAGGAGTATTAACTGGGGATGGGTAGCGTACGTGGCCTATCCTGTCAGGACAACCATTGGCTGTCGCTACCAGCAATCACTGCGGGTCTGGTCCTTGGCCTCTACAACACCCTGGGGAAACTTTTTTCTTTTTTAACCCCGAAAATCCTGCCAGGAGAGGTGATACGAGCATCCCCCCCTAGCAGGTTTTCTGGTTGCTCCAATCTATTGGTGGGGCGCCACACCTGCTGGAAATAGGGTCCAGTGTCCCATCTTACATCGAACAGATAATATTCAGAGTATTAACTGCGCAGGGGTACCGCCTGTCAGCATTGAATCAGATCCGTACTGGACTCCCAAAAGGCAGTTCGGACTTCAAAATGCATTTACAAACTGCTTTCGTGACTGCGCCCTAGTTACCCCCTTTTTTTTAAGCCCAGGTTGTTGTAGTGGCCGCTAATTGTCCGTAAACCGCTGGAAGGGGTGGATTCTGAGATGCTGTGGGATAGGTGGGGCCAAGTTAGATAGTAAGTGCAAAGGGCAGCCACAGAACATCATTTGGCATTGTTAGTCTAGTGACTGTAGTGATGATTTTGAACAGCAGGGCTTTGACTTCAACTTGCGGATCTATAACTGCCAGGCCTCGTATTGGATTGCAGAGCAATTCTGCTGAAAGCCTGGCAACCGGCCCCACTGCAGTGCTTTGAAGTCTGGTGGAAACGCTGCATGCACGCCATGGAAGGGGTGAAAGTAGACGGGGGTGCAGAGGTATCGAAAATGATCAACAGAGCTATGGGTTGAGTGGGAGAAATGACAGCGAAAGCCGCATTTTTTCACACCGAAAGAAGACATTAAGAAATCAACCAATAACTTCTGCTCTGACGGACTGGGGGGGGGGGGCGGAGAAGGGGGATGGATGGCACATGTGGAATGACAAGGGGGAGAGGGAGGGGAGGTCTCTCCGCGAAAGGACTACACCCTTATATCTCATGATTGGCTGTAGATTGACCCCGAGATACCAGTGAGGCCCAGGATATTTCTCAGACATGTTTCCCCCACCCAAGCTGGCGCCGATGTGGTTTGGCCAGGACTCCTAAATAGCAGTTCCCATAGGGAGGGCCCTGCAAGTGTTGCATGCCAGCAAGCACTCCCATCCCACCGTCTTCCCCTAAACACAACGCACCCTCATTTTGACTTTATCGGGCCGCAAACATACCTTGTGTACGTTCATTTTCAGGGTGCGTTATGTTCGGGGGAAGACGGTAGGCAGCATTTTGCATCAGTAGAGCTCGGGAATCAGAAATGGTTGTGTGTCTGGTTGACTTGTCACGTAGTGGCAGGCGTCCCTGTAGGGATGAACAGCCTAGGCACAGCCAACTTTTGCCACTCAAGCATCTCTCATCATGTACTAAACTCATGGTTTTTATTATGTATATGTGGCAGGCGTCCCTGTAGGGATGAACAGCCTAGGCACAGCCAACTTTTGCCACTCAAGCATCTCTCATCATGTACTAAACTCATGGCTTTTATTATGTATATGGGACCCGTTTTCCCACAGGTGCTGCTCCCCATTGATAGATTAGAGGCATCCCCTGGCCACCTACTGTATTCCCGTGAACATAATGCATATTCTGCATTGTAAATGAATAGACGTCATGTGCATTATGAAGGAATACAACGCATAATATGTGTGGTTGTGACGAACTGTTTTCTGTAACCGTGCGACTTTCTGCGCGACGCTACTTCGGGGGTTGATCAAGAGCGTCCAATTGCATGAATGCCCCCGCTTTTGTTTTTGGAAAAGGGATGGTCCCCCGACGGTTGGTAGATGATCGCGCCTTGGCGAGCGCGGAAAATAACTGTTGCCATAGCT